CAGGGGCAACCATCTATCCTGCATCCAGGGGCAATCAACTATCCTGCATCAAGGGGCAATCAACTATCCTGCATCAAGGGGCAATCAACTATCCTGCATCAAGGGGCAATCATCTATCCTGCATCCATGGGCAAGCATCTATCCTGCATCCATGGGCAAGCATCTATCCTGCATCCAGGGGCAATCAACTATCCTACATCCAGGGGCAAGCATCTATCCTAAATCCAGGGACAATCATCTTTCCTGCATCCAGCGGCAATCATATATCCTGCATCGAGGGGCAATCATCTATCCTACATCCAGGGGCAAGCATCTATCCTAAATCCAGGGACAATCATCTTTCCTGCATCCAGCGGCAAGCATCTATCCTGCATCCAGGGGCAAGCATCTATCTTGCATCCACGGGCAAGCATCTATCCTGCATCCAGGGGCAAGCATCTATCCTGCATCCAGGGGCAAGCATCTATCTTGCATCCAGGGGCAAGCATCTATCTTGCATCCAGGGGCAATCATCTATCCTGCATCCAGGGGCAATGATCTATCCTGCATCAAGCGGCAAGCATCTATCCTGCATTCAGGGGCAAGCATCTATCTTGCATCCAGGGGCAATCATCTACCCTGCATCCAGGGGCAATCATCTATCCTGCATCCAGGGGTGATCATCTATCCTGCATCTAAGGACGATCATCTATCATGCATCCAGGGACTATCATCTATCCTGCCTCCAGGGACAAAAATCTATCCTGCATCCAGGGGCAATCATCTATCCTGCCTCCAGGGACAAGCATCTATCCTGCATCCAGGGGCAATCATATATCCTGCATTAAGGGGCAATCATATATCCTGCATTAAGGGGCAATCATATATCCTGCATCAAGCGGCAAGCATCTATCCTGCATCCAGGGGCAACCATCTATCCCGCATCCAGGGGTGATCATCTATCCTGAATCCAGGAGCAACCATCTATCCTGCATCTAGGGATGATCTTCTATCATGCATCCAGGGGCAACCATCTATCCTGCATCGAGGGTTGATCATCTATCCTGCATCCAGGGGCAATCATCTATCCTGCATCCAGGTACAATTATATATCCTGCATCCAGGGACAATAATATATATCCTGCATCTATCCTGCATCCAGGGACAATCATCGATCCTGCATTAAGGGGCAATCATATATCCTGCATCCAGGGACAATTATATATCCTGCATCCAGGGACAATAAGATATATCCTGCATCCAGGGACAATAAGATATATCCTGCATCCAGGGACAATAAGATATATCCTGCATCTGGGGCAATCATCTATCCTGCATCCAGGGACAATCATCTATCCTGCATCCAGGGGCAATCATCTATCCTGAAATGTAGCAAATACAAAAAAACGATTTGTCTAAAGTCTAATTATAGAAATGAACTTATCTCCAGAGACTGGAAAGTGTACATTCCGGTATATAATAGTAATGAGGGTCGTCAGTAAAGTGGGCTATGTACAAACAGATCTCTGATTTCCCATCCTTCTCACTCAACCTGGTGCACTGTCAGTGGTTCTCCCTCATGTAGCTGATGAAGTGCCAGGAAAGGGAAACTCTGCACTCAATGAGCAGATATTATTCCGCATGTTAGGTTCATATCACACATGGACTTATGCAGCGTTCTGGGATTCCGGTGGCAAGAATCCTAGGTTTACCTGTTCAGATGTGGCTCCTGTACCCTTTTCAGTAATGACAGGGTGACAGCAGCCGTATCTTTCAGCGACAGTCCGCATGTTATGATACGATTACTTGTGGTTTGGGATTGATGATTGCCCCTGGACGCATCAATCCTGCATCAAGGGGCAATCATCTATCCTGCATCCAGGGGCAACCATCTATCCTGCATCCAGGGGCAATCAACTATCCTGCATCAAGGGGCAATCATCTATCCTGCATCCATGGGCAAGCATCTATCCTGCATCCATGGGCAAGCATCTATCCTGCATCCAGGGGCAATCAACTATCCTACATCCAGGGGCAAGCATCTATCCTAAATCCAGGGACAATCATCTTTCCTGCATCCAGCGGCAATCATATATCCTGCATCGAGGGGCAATCATCTATCCTACATCCAGGGGCAAGCATCTATCCTAAATCCAGGGACAATCATCTTTCCTGCATCCAGCGGCAAGCATCTATCCTGCATCCAGGGGCAAGCATCTATCTTGCATCCACGGGCAAGCATCTATCCTGCATCCAGGGGCAAGCATCTATCCTGCATCCAGGGGCAAGCATCTATCTTGCATCCAGGGGCAAGCATCTATCTTGCATCCAGGGGCAATCATCTATCCTGCATCCAGGGGCAATGATCTATCCTGCATCAAGCGGCAAGCATCTATCCTGCATTCAGGGGCAAGCATCTATCTTGCATCCAGGGGCAATCATCTACCCTGCATCCAGGGGCAATCATCTATCCTGCATCCAGGGGTGATCATCTATCCTGCATCTAAGGACGATCATCTATCATGCATCCAGGGACTATCATCTATCCTGCCTCCAGGGACAAAAATCTATCCTGCATCCAGGGGCAATCATCTATCCTGCCTCCAGGGACAAGCATCTATCCTGCATCCAGGGGCAATCATATATCCTGCATTAAGGGGCAATCATATATCCTGCATTAAGGGGCAATCATATATCCTGCATCAAGCGGCAAGCATCTATCCTGCATCCAGGGGCAACCATCTATCCCGCATCCAGGGGTGATCATCTATCCTGAATCCAGGAGCAACCATCTATCCTGCATCTAGGGATGATCTTCTATCATGCATCCAGGGGCAACCATCTATCCTGCATCGAGGGTTGATCATCTATCCTGCATCCAGGGGCAATCATCTATCCTGCATCCAGGTACAATTATATATCCTGCATCCAGGGACAATAATATATATCCTGCATCTATCCTGCATCCAGGGACAATCATCGATCCTGCATTAAGGGGCAATCATATATCCTGCATCCAGGGACAATTATATATCCTGCATCCAGGGACAATAAGATATATCCTGCATCCAGGGACAATAAGATATATCCTGCATCTGGGGCAATCATCTATCCTGCATCCAGGGACAATCATCTATCCTGCATCCAGGGGCAATCATCTATCCTGCATCCAGGGACAATTATATATCCTGCATCCAGGGACAATAAGATATATCCTGCATCCAGGGACAATCATCTATCCTGCATCCAGGGACAATCATCTATCCTGCATCCAGGGACAATCATCTATCCTGCATCCAGGGACAATCATCTATCCTGCATCCAGGGACAATCATCTATTCTGAGCTGCACATAATTGTACCATGTGCCATTATATGTTGACTGCCGCTGAGAGATGCAGCTGCTCTCACCTTGTTATTAACTTCATTGGGTACAGCGGCTGCATCTGAATGGGACACCAGGAATCTGTAGGGATCCTGGAATGCCCCGTGTGAATGTAACCTTAGAATATTTCCATGTACAATAAAGACTTTAAAGCCTGGAAATACCTGTTATCGATCAGTTTTAATCTCTACACAACCCAATCACCACCAGCAATCCTCAAATGTGTTGCATTTAGGTGGCTCATTTATAAAAATGCATATAGGGGTACAGGGAGCCACAGCTCCCTATGCTCATATGCAGGATGAAAAATGATTCAGAGTGAATCTCATTCTGGTACTGAACTCTTGGTGCTCTCTTCCCCTCAGCTGCAGCGGTCATTACATTCTATACACTGTGTTTAGGACGTGAGAACCCCAAAAGACATACCATTGCTACAGTGGAGGGGAAGACAAGCCGGAGGGAGCACTGTGACAGCCGGGCCGACTCAGAGGGTCTGGTGAGTATAACTTTTTTCCTCCCTAGACCCACTGCAGGGGTTAATAATAAATAATAATAATAATAAATTTCCCTAGAGTTCTGCCTCAATGTTTTTTTAATCCCTAAATGTATATTTGGGCAGCTTACAAACAAAAGAGAAACACAAATGACGCTTAAAAAACTTTATTTAAGGCTACTAGTTAATATTCCGAAAGCTTAGCACTTGTAATAAACATTTCAAACAGGGTTACCCTTTTTCTAAGACACGACTGATTGGAGTAAGTTCTATGTACAGTTCATTTTCATAGAAAAATAAGGTATATATTGTATTTTAATTTAAACAAGTTAATCAGCAAAGCTCGTTTCATCGCGCGATGGAGATCGGAACGTGAAGGAAAGCATTAAACCTGTTACGGTAGACACACATTGATAAGCAGAATCTTCTCTTTGTGGAATTCCCCAACAAGAAAACACTATTGGAAATGTCATTTACTTTGCATGCAAAGCTATACTGTATGGCTTTATGATACACCTGCTTGAATATACAGAACACAAAGTCATCGTTTCTCAAGTGGCAGCCGTGTGAATCCTTGTTGAAGATTTTCTGCAATTCTATTGCTCGTCCAGTAAATCCCTGAAAAGAAATGAAAAAAAAAAAAAAAATGTAGTCTGTAAGAATTGTTTATATTTGGCATTTTGATATTAGCTGCATTTAATTTTTTGCTGAAATATAGTTTCATTTACAGGTCATGTTGTAGGATTACAAAGTAATAATCATACATTGTGGGGTCTCAGGGAGGCTGTGAGGGGTCTCAGGTGGGCTGTGCAGGGTATCAGGTGGGTTGTGCAGGGTCTATGGTGGGCTTTGCAGCAGTGAGCGGGAACGTGTTCTGGAGGTAGGTCTTTTTTTTGGTGGGGGGCAGTTTGCAAGGGAGGGGGGGGGGGCATACACAATTTTGCTATGGGGCCCTGTGATTTCTAGTTACGCCCCCTCCCGCAAGTTGAATGAAAAACATAGATCAGTGTATGGCCAGCCTTAGTGGGAGGTCAGCAACAGCAGTTTTCTTGTATTTTCTAGTATACAAGTTTACTTTCAAAGTTTTCATTCTGTCTAAATTGAAACAAAACACATTGTATCGAATTATATAATGTATATAGATTTACCTTTCTTTAACTGGGGTGTTAATGATCCAGTCCAAAAACTCTTGAGCGGCCTTTATATCGAGAGCTTTGTTGAAGTCACTAGTAAAACGGCCATCAGCGTGCCTTCTGTCCAAGTCTTCTGCTGAAATATCTGGGAAACTTTTTTTTTTTTACAAAAATAGATATTTAATTAATTCAATTCTAAAAAGTTAAAATACCAGCACACATTTTTGACCAACTTCTATAGCAAATGCAATATTGCAAAAAAGTCTGGTCCAGAATCCATTCTAGACTGTGGTTGGTCGAGGAAGGAGCAGCGGCACACTCATGAGGTCATCCCTCTGTCCTCTCTCCTCTAAGTGTGTTCTTAAACAGCACTGTGAAAAGCACTAAATGACTCGTAGGGGTTGATTTACTACAGGTAAATATGCTGTTTACTTTGCAAGGGAATTTGCACTTTCCAGGGGAAGTTACACCGTAGTTTATTGAATGAGGTGAAGCTCCTCTGACATCCATCACTTACCATATTTTTCGCTCCATAAGACGCACTTTTTTCCCCCCAAAAGGAGGGGGAAAAAGTCCCTGCGTCTTATGGAGCGAATCCCGACGCCCGAGACATGCAGTTTCGGGTGCCGGGCGAGTAGTAGGAGCCACTGCTCGTTTAATACGAGGGATCTAATGAGATCCCTCGTATTAAAGCCGAGCAGCGGCGGCGGCGATCGAGTTCAGCAGCAGGAGCCACTGCTCGTTTAATACGAGTGATCTAATGAGATCACTCGTATTAAAACCGAGCAGCGGCGACGATCGAGATAACCATAGAGCAGACGAAGAATAGACGTTCTTCGCCTGCTCTGTGTCATCACTGAGACCGTGGCGCTGTAATCACAGCGCCACCTGTCTCAGCGGTCACTAACTGCAGCTTCTGTCACAGCTTCTGTCATAGAAGCTGTCACAGAAGCTACAGTCTCGAGTGCTCCATAAGGCGCGCCGGACCTCCCTGCGTCCTATGGTCCGGTGCGTCTTATGGACCGCAAAATACGGTAATCGTGTGCTAGCAAAAATACTTTTTTATTATTATTTATTCTTGCACATGATTGGGTATTCTTTGCAAAGTGAAAATTCAACGCATTCACTAAGCTAAGGAAAACTTCCCTTGCCAAGAACACATTTCCTTGCAAAGTGCACAGCCTATTTGCCTTTAGGAAAAATACCCCAGAGTGTGGTACATCCCTCTTCTAATCTGAGTGCTGCTGTGCAAGTTCAGAGACTGATATCAATAACAGATACTTATAGTACGCTACTTCTCTTCATAAAAAATAAATTTCATTTGTTTCTGATGAGTACATAACTGAATTATATGGTATTATTTTAACATGTGCAAGGAGTTAATCTTTAAAAATAACTGTCCATTGAAGTTATAGTAATAAAGATATGGTATCATTTTTGGACCAGGTCTTTTTGAAGATGAGGGGATGACCTTGTTGAACTTTGCCTTTTTCAGCCTTTTCAGCTCTGTAGCTGTGTACGGTGCTTTTTCAATATGCAATGTGATTTCTTTTTTAAAGCAGTGCTATGGCCATGGTAAAGCCTGATTTATAAATGGTGCCCTTAACCAAGATTCCTGTGTCTGTGGCATGGTAAGCGTGTCTTGGGAATTGTTGGTAATCTCCCCAAGGTGATTTTAAAACTAAACCTTGACAATTACTTGCAAGTCTTATGCTGCCTGGACAACCGGAAATGTATTTACCTTAATGGTTAATGTTTATGGCCGGAGTGTTGCTGACATCAAAGGGCACCTATGGTTAAATGTTACCTTAATGTTATGGTAATAGATTTGCTGTAATAATTAAATGAAGGGCAGTGAAAAGGTTAAATTACTTGTCTTTAAATGTGATTCCTCTATGGCTAAACACACGACCATTAGCCCTGACCTTTGGCCACATAATCTGTGCTGAAGGCTAGAATTAGCCAAACTTGACTCTAATCCTCCCCTTCAAGAGATCACATGACTCAATTTTGGTATGTGAGCAGCATTGAAGGAGCCAGGAGGAAACATTTTCTCTATGAAAAGCAAGTATTTTTGCTTTTCCATGGCTATTTTTCTATCAATTTCAGCAACACTATTCACCTACCTTCATGTTAATATTTTATTATAGGGTTAAAATCTCAAATCTCAATTATACTTTTCACTTGCAAAATTTGGTTTGCATTTGGCAGTCACATTTCATGGAAGCTTTTACATATATTTTATATTTCTTATGTTTAATATTTATTGGATCAACATGTAGTATTTTTGCTCTTACTACATTACTACAACATATGTGGGGTGATGCATAATATTTTTGTTAATCATCATGATTTCCTCCAACCAGCACAGACTTTTTTGGACATCTTGTTGCATGTTCATTATATTATGCAAGATAACAACTAACAATATATAATTATTTGCAAAGCTACTTATAAGTGCCAAAAAGGGTCAAGACATAATTATTTATCTATGTTATCTTTATAAGAGTATATAATGCAAAATAGGAAGGAATAGCATAAAATGACTCCAATAACAACATCCAAATTCTTACTTTCTTTTTGGTCTTCCTCTAATTAGCCAATCAACAAATTCTTTGGCTGCCTTCTCCTCCAAGTAGCTAGTCATATCACTTGTGAAAGTTCCTTCTGCGTGTCTTGATAACCTCCTAGACAATGAGAAAGTCCTTTAATTTTGGGGTATTACCAATTACAAATCCAATCACATTATCATGATTTCTTCAAGTGTATAACCAATTTTTTTGTTTTGTAGTTTTGGATAAAGTAGGTAGAGATTATAACACTTGTCAAGATTCATTGGTGTATATGCCTTCACTAAGGAGATTCACTCTCTCAATAACTGTGCTGGTGGACATTGTGACCAAGATAAAAGTGATGCAAAATACAAAAAGTTAGTTTTTGCAAAAACAAGAGCTGTGGGAAAAACATCCAATGGGAATACCTGTTCCAGATATAGCTGTCTAAAGCTGGCCATACACCTATAGATTATCTGCAGATTTTCTGTGGTCAGATGGAAAAGGTGCAACAGATTCCTCCATCTACGCTAAACTGTGTTGATGGCGGAATCTCCCACTGGTCCAAGTTTCAGTATCTTGCTATTCAGCCCCGCTGGCTTCAAAATACCTGAACAATGCCTGCATCCAATCAGATTGTTCAGGTATTTTGACAGCCAGTGGGGCCGACTAGCAAAATACTGAAGCTTGGCCCAGTGGGAGATTCCTCCATCCACACAGTTTCGCGTAGATGGAGGAATCTGTTGCACTTTTTCCATCTGACCATAGAAAATCTGCAGATAATCTATAGGTGTATGGCCAGCTTAAGAGGAGAAACCCCTTCACTGTAGAGATTTTCTGTTCGCTGTTTCTGTTGGTTCTCCAAGACAGGAAGTGAAAAGAATCCTTCCTATTGGGATACAGACAACAATAATAATAAACTGACAGAGTTTTATTCCTTCCATATGCTATCCAAAACTATAAACACAGTTTGGCTTATACAATCACTTCAGATGTATTGCAGGATGCTAAATGGTAACATTTTGGACACTTGCCTTTCACACAGGTCTTAAGGTTTCATTACCTTTCATTATTATTATTATTACATAGTATTTATATAGCGCCAACAGTTTGTGCAGCGCTTTACAATATAAGGAAGACATTACAGTTACAATACAATTCAAGACAAGATGGTAAGGAGGGCCCTGCCCCTGAGGGCTTAAAATCTAAAAGAGGAGGGGGAAATAATACATGAGGTAGCTGTGGTAGCTGTGGGAATGAATTATGTGAGAATGTGAACCTTATGCACCACTGCGGTGCATTGACATGCGGTGAGGTGCATTTAATTGCATATATAATATACACCACCATACAAGTATTGTGTGAAAAGTATACATAGATAACAGAGCAATAGTATAGTATGTGCCCTTGCTTTGAGCCTTCGTTGACCAATGCTCATTAACACAGTTCAACGTAACTGGTGTAAACAAGCCCTAAAGCAAAATATTTTATTTACAAAAAGTAATAAAAAAAAATATAAATTGTGTAACTTTATATTTTTTATTTCAAGATTTGCATCTTATTTCAGCTGCCTCCATCTGTCAATCTACTGATGACTTTGGCATGTGATCATCTCAGTGAATATAGCTTATGCATTTTAACATCAAATACTGAGTTTGCATTGCTTAGGTCAATGACAAGTTTACTTTACATAAAGCCAAAAAAGCCAAAGTCATCCTCACAAACATTTCTGCACTGCAATTACCACAGTTCCTGTTATATGTTTTTTTTTATTATTATTATTTTCCTCAACTTATAGGCAGACCACAGACAGCTGAAGAAAGCCACTGTATATCAGTAGGTGGACTCTGCTGATCATTGAAACGATTGGCAAGGGGGACTTTTTCTGCATCAAGAGATAGTTTGGATAAAAGCTCCTGTAAAACTTTCAAGCATTTCCGTGTAAACTCTAATCTAATCTGTGCTAAATTATTTTGTTTGTTAATGGTTTATCTTTTCTCTTTCAATATCCCTTTAGTGTTTTGCCATATGGCTTAAAGAATACAATTGTTGGTGCCAAAAATGGCAAATGCAGGATTTTTTCTCATATCATAGGCCCTGGATTGTTTATAAAATGATGTAGCCAACAAGGCTGATAATGAAATAGATTAGATTAATTGTAAACAGAAAATGTTTCATTTCAGAGAATTACTCTGTGGTGTCCTTACTGTTTCTTTGGTTTTCCTTTTATCAACCAGTCAATAAATTCTTTGGCTGCTTTTTCTTCCAAGAACTGGGTAACGTCATTGGTATATGTGCCTTCTGCGTGCCTCTCAAATTGTACATTGCGCTTTGATATTCCTCTAGAAAAACAAATGTAACAATTAAATGCAATAAGTGATGATTATTATCATGCACCACTGGTGATACATAGTCAACAAGACACACTTGTGCAGCTATATGTTTATTGTAGTGATAGCTGCCAATGGAAGTGTTTCTGCTTCTTTGGATTTTGATTGGACACTGGGCCTTTGCAAGGGTAATGCATTAACCAGCTTTAGATAAAAATAAAGGTAATGCATTTTGTTTAAAGTGTGAATTCATGAAGGGGAATCATTTATCACAGCTAACACAATTTTGTGACTTTTTTTGGTGGTATTTTGATATGGAAAGTGTTGTGATGGTGTTATATAATTGACATGGGGTTGGAAAAACACTGTAGAACTATTGCAGACAAAAGCAAGGGTAAGACAATTCCACGGGCACGGTTTAGGGGTTGACCCATTGGGTCATTTTCAAGATCCATGTGCAAATGGTTAACATTATGAATGGTGAGTATATTATAACCCCAGTTCAATTAAGACCCAAAGAAGTTTACCTTCTTCACTGCACAAGTGTTTAGCTTCACTATACTAAATAACTGCTAATTAACTTCTAAATATTGTCTATTTGCTGACACACATGTTGCGCACACACAGTATATATTTGGGTTTAAAAGAGAAAAAGTGAATTGATCAAACCACAAAACCAAGGTACGTGCAATAAGGTTCAATGGACACACTGCAAGCACTGACATAGGGTCATAACAACAGATAGGTTCAGCTTAAGGGCAGAGTTGGAGGGGACCTATAGTTTACCATCTGAAACAGAATGTTAAACTCTGCTCCATATTTCTTACCCGCTTCTTTTTGAGTTCATTAACCACTGGACAAAGTCTTGAGCCCGCCTGGAGTCTAGGTACTTGCTGTAATCACTAGTAAATGTGCCTTGTGAATGACGTTTAACTTCATTGTGGTGATCTGAATCATCTAGTGCTTCAGTCCTTGCAGCTTTGACTGATCTGCGTATACAATTTTTTCATTGATGATATAAGTATCTATCAAGAGCCTGGGGGGTATTATTCTGAACTCTACACTTCTAAAGCTAGCCCACATGACCAAACACAGGATGGTTCTGCTACTTTTATGACTTTGTTTAAATTACCTTTAAATACAATTGATTGTAGGAGTAAAACTGAGTTTTATATTAAAACTATCTATCTTTGACCAGCAGTGTAAACTAGTCTAGAAAACTTGATTTCGGTTTTAACCCAGTTGATCTGTTTTAGAATACATGTGCTCTGATACCTGAGACAGTGGATCTCTAACATTTCCATTAAAAATTTCATGGGTCACTGAACTACAGATAAAGATATGATTGTTCATTGTCCCCTAGAGGGGAAAATATGGAAGCAATTACTACATTGCAAATGTTTCAATACCTTCTTCCTGATGAAGTTAAAGGAGAACTATGGGGTCAGGGCTTTTCCCCATAGTTCTCCTAAGGGTAATGGGAGGACACAAACTATAACGCGAGCTACATTACTGTCGAGATCCACCCAGCTGCATGATTGACAGCTGGCTCTGCCTATCTAGAGGCAGAGCCAGCTGTACCCGCCCCCTCCCCCGTCTGTTCCGCCAGTCAGCGCTAGAGGATTGGACAGGGGAGGGGGGAGTCCCTGCAGGGAGCCGTGAGTGAAAGTCACGGCTCCCTGCATGGATAGATCAAGAAGTAAACGAGCAAAGGTATGTGTTCGCTCACTTCCCGATCTATTGAGCCAACCTGTGACAATTTAATTGTCACAGGTCAGCTAGAACTATGAGGCTGAGTGATTTTCACTCGCCTCATAGTTCTCCTTTAACATATATAAAATTAAGACTTTTTTTAGTTTTGAATATAGTGTGGAAGGGTGGAAACCTCTGTCTTGTTTTTTGGGGTTTTTTTTTTTTTTTTGCTGCCTATGTCTTCACTGTAAAGATGTATCCTTCATCATAAAAAGGATCACCGACACAGTAAATGATGGAAAATCTAAAAGTTGTCACCAGAACAGGAATAGAAGAGAACACTTCTAATGAAGACACCTGTTTTAGTGACAAATGTTAACATTTCCCCACTTGGAATAGATATCCTCTCACTTTTTGTCTCTGGGACAGGAAGTGAGTGGAAATCTTCCAACACATACACCAAAAATAAATGAAGCAATTAAACTGACAGAGGTTTTCTTCCTTACCCTATTGAAAACTAAAAAGTTAAACCTACTTAGTTGATAATTTAAAAAAATATTATTCTTTACAATGCAAATGTAGATTTACAGAGTTGTTGTAATATTTCCATAACTGAGTATACTAAGTTAAGTAGTGAGAAAAAATAAGTAAGAAACATTTCAACATGATGTGATGCAATTAATTTTCTTTATGCATTACTACTAATATACAATATATGAAAAATGTGAAGACATTTGACACAATTTTATACTCTGTGAAAAATGAAAGAATACTGCAGATTCTGAGACAGGGAAGGTAATGTAATCTTTGATAGCTTCCTACACAGTGCAATAGTATAAATCTATCATAAAATTAATTGAATGTGAATATTATTACAAACCAAAGTATGGTCTATTAAACAGGTTGTTAGTTACTGGCTGTAGTAGTACTACTTTAGACTGTTTGTACATTAAAGGCTGAGATCTTAAAGATCCTAAAGTGACACTAAACTCAGGAGTTCAATCTAAAAATGCTTTCAAGTCCCCTAGTAACAAAAATGTATCTTATTTGTGCATCACTCAGCTGTAGATCATCAAATCATCTCTGAATTAGTGCTGACACCGTCCTTTCTTCTGGAGGGTGGCTACTTTTGTTCTCCATGGTCTCTGTGTGTTGTAAAGTAGTCACCGCTCCAAGCTTGCTCCCATGATGGACTACAATCTCACGTTTAGTTTTCTAATTTGTATTGAGGTTGTAGTTCACCACGGGAGCAAGCTTGGAGTGGTTCAAAAAATTGAGTGAACATTCAGTTTAATAATCCAATCATATGAAAATAAAATTCAAAGTAAGTACACTTACTTATTCTATACATGATTGGGTATTCAAAGTGAACAGGAATTTGCATTTCATGTAATTAGATAATTGAAGTGTTTTCTCAATTCCTCTAGTGAATTAGCTTCACTGAGCACCTTTCGTAGCAGTGTGTCTTCTGCTGAGCTACATGAGCTTAGCGTAGTTTTCATAGACTTAAATAGACATCATTCTTTTCACATGGGTGCAGGGATGAACAATCACCTTTAAAAACTTAACCATCAAGAAAACACTAAAGCTGGTCATACACCTATACATTATCTGCAGATTTTCTACGGTCAGATGGAAAAAGTGCAACCGATTCCTCCATCTACGCTTAACTGTGTGGATGGAGGAATCTCCCACTGGGCCCCACTGGCTGTCAAAATACCTGCACAATCTGATTGGATACAGGCATTGTTCAGGTATTTTGAGAGCCAGCAGGGCTGACTAGCAAGATACTGAAGAGAGATCTTCTGTATGACCTTCATTAGGCTGTATACCCTGCCAAATAAATTGCACATTCATTCTAAGTAATTGTTGCAAAACTGGACTTAGGTGAGATATTGCTAGAAAGTTGTTTTTTTACTGAGAATTTGTTAAATAGGGTTGGACATATTGAAATGATACCATCTTTACACACAAGTAACATATTGTAATTCTCAGAAACACTGCGTGGAAGCAAGGAACATGTGGTTTATATAACCTTCCATGTTACAGGCACTTAAAATAATATGCCACAAGATATCTCCCCCTTCCCCCTTAAAACCATAAATTGACTTTTTTTCAATTAGAACATGTTTTCTTGAGTTAAAAGTGGCCATATGAGAAAAAATTACTTGGGAAAAAACTGTAAATACATTAAAGCATGCCTTTATATGAGAAGGTTTCTGCTTGGGAACACATACTGTAGTTGTATGGAATATTTAATGTTCTCTGCATCCCCTGTACAAAATACTGGAATGAAATAGCATAGTGAAATGATTGGTGTAACAACAGGGGTAACAAACTTCCTTAAAACTAATTATAATATAATTTATATCTTTTAATTTTGTTCTACATTTATATTACAAAGAAAAATAGACTTCTAATTCAAAAACTGGCTATAGGAGAGCACTCTAAAAATTGACAATTTAGTTATGGATAAATGTGGTAGGTTTCATTACCAACTGAAAATGTTATTTTTTTCTATCAGCCTTCATTTCCAAAAACAATTTAAAAAGTATTGCATATAATTGAATGGACCTCAGTAATCTGCCACCCACAATTTCAGTTATTTCCAATGACCAGTCAACATTGAGATGGAAATTGATGCCTTTTGATTGCCATTGCATTGGGTTTGATCAGTTTCAGCCACAATTTCGATTGCTCACTTAAAGCTGGGAAATGTTTGAACCCATGGGTAGGATATTACTGTATCAATCCCATGAATGTTTTTTTATTAACTGGAAGCTGATGGAAAACATGACAGATGTGATATCTATGCATCTGGGTTTTCAGCCCCCCCTCTGCTCCCCCCCCATCACCATCCCCATCAGTAAAATACCATGAGGAATGCAACAAGAGCACTGAGTTTTCTCTTGTGGGAGATCCCACTGCCAGAATCCACACTGGATATAAGAAACCAGAGAATGAGTCAGCCCTTCACAGATCACATATAAACAAAATATGGAATTTGGGTGGACTGACCCACTGGGTCTTTGACATTTGACAAATGACATAAAGCATTAGCACCTTGCAAAATACATGCAAACCTTCTGTCCTCTAGCTTTAAGAAATTATACATTCCAGCATGATTTACTACCCAGCAGGGAACGTGACATACTGGGATATGTGGCTTCAACAGCCTAAAGGTCACTTATTGATTAACTCTCCTTTATATATATGTAAAAATGCTCAAGAGAATAAAATGCATGTAAGTCAGTTTAATACACACCTGGACTTGTCTTCTGTTTCCTGGATAGGACTTTGGAAACTTCCTTGTAATAACATAAAAAGTAGTCCCACCATATAATAAATGCTTTTCATGGTCTTTCTGCAACAGATCAAACAATGAATACAATTTCTATTGGTTCTGCCAATAATCCATTACTGTGACAGCAATAAGACATTTGCACAAAAAACTAAATGTGGTCATATAAATCAGCACCATCATGTGATCCAGTAAGTTGTATGTTGTGCACATAGCAAAACTTTTTTTTCCTATATCTTATGCACAAAATATAAATTGGCTATTCAAGGGTATTATATTATAAAAATATCAGGATTGGAGTCAAATGGGTTGATTTACTAAAGGCAAATCAGCTGTTCACATGGCAAGGGAATCTTCCCTTAGCTTAGCAAAGAAAATCCAAACACGTGCAAGGAAAATAAATGTAAAAAAAAACTGTATTTTTGCTTGTACATGATTGGATGATGGATGTAAGCATAGCTTCACCCCATTCACTAAGCTAAGAGAACATTTCCTTGCAAAGTGCAAATCCATTTGCAAAGCGTACAGCCTATTTGCCTTTAGTAAATCAACCCCGAAGACTAGGAAATGTGTGACAACTTTAATCTTCAACAAGTTTTTATGCAAGTGAGGATGCCTGGTATTGTAACAAGGACCGGAAAGCTGAATATCCAAACCAAATCAAATCTAGGCTATAGGAAAAAGTGCATCCTAGCTAACAGGGAAAGAAAAGCTATATTCATATAGCTTTTAAATATATAGCATTTTGACTGTTTATATTGCATAATAGTCTGTATTGTAGTGCGTGGCTGCGTAAATAACTTTTTTCCTATTACCCTATGTTGAAGACTAAAAATGTTTTTAATGGAAAAGAATTTCTCAACCCGTAAAACAAAGTTTGATATAAAAAAATTTGCTAACATAAAAACAAACTTACAGAAATATATAATTCCTTAAAATAGGCAACAAATATATGCATTTGCACATATCTAGGAAATATATTTTGATTTTAAAAAAATTGTAATGAAAAGAAATCAATTAAGAAAGCTAAATGTAACATTTAACACTGCAATTTAACATAGAAAAATTAAAGTTCTTTAAAGATTTAATAAACCAGACATAAACGTAACTCAATAAAATAATATAATTACAAACATTATGTTAGAAATAATTATTTTTAAAAAATCACATTAACAAACAATGAGTAAAGCAGTAAAAAAGAGTATAATCATCTATAAAATAATATAAAACAATAATGAAATAATTTCATTAAAAAAACCTTACAAGAAAGTGGCCAGTCCAGAGGACAATACTCACCCTGAATTGGACTTCTATAAAATGGACAAGATGAAGCTCTGTCTGGAGACACTTTCCAGTCTTTCCTGATGATTCCAACTGCTTATGCCACAAAGCATTTTATACTCTTTTCAGCTTCATTGAACAGTGTGAGGATGCATTGTGCCCATTAATTCTGACACAGATGATCATGTGATTGCTGATGCTTTAAATGTTAAGATACAACTGACTTCTCTTTGTGTAATTTACACATTAGGCACGGCTGGCAAACCATCGCGAAAGAATTGCACATGTACAAGTGCTTCCTTTTCAGGTGTAATGCAAGTGCAGGTATAACGCTACGTCAGATGGCAGGGAACGTGAATTGTTCTTCACACAAACAACCCATGCATAAAATAAAGTGTATTGTGGCTTTCGTCTTATAGACTATATATGGGATAGCAGAACTTTTAATATGTTTGTGTTACTATAAAACTGTCTATTTCCATTTTACTTCTGTAATAAACCATATGTAAACCCAATCAAGAAACTCTCATATAACCTTGAAGATGTTAATGTAATGTAAAAAGTTATTTTTAATATTTTGAAAGGAAGCTTTCATTACAATTATAATACCCTGTGATCCTACCATTGCCAAGGTCATTGTTCAATTAGTTCCTGTTATACAGTGAAAACACTTAGTCCCTGTCTCCCATTTGTGCTCCTATATTGTCACCCTTTCGTATGGCCATCCGATGTTGGACTACAGGTGGCCGTTTCAGCACACGTTACGCAGGCATGGTCCTCTGTTGTCACCACCAGGAAACCCGCCCTGAGAAACAGTCATTTCTGGAGTACATGTAGACAGAAAGTGGCTGCAAAGAGACTGTAGGAGATGGACAACACTGAGATACAACAAAGAATAAACAAGAATAAACAAAGAATAAACAAGTAATTTAAAAAAAACCCTCAATATCAATAAGTTATAATTCACTTTAATAGTAGTAATGACTTGAATCAGGGTGATGAAGAATCAGTTACTATGAAACACAATTTATTGCACCCGGTGTTGTAAATGTATGACATCAGCAATGTTTTATTCTTGCCAAAATTAAACCGAAATAAGCATTCCTTTTTAATACACATCAGGGGTTACCCTCAAACTAGCTCATATTTCCAAGTTAGCTGTGCTGCATCTTCATTTATATATACACTAAATTCTCAGTTTGGATGCAACTAAATAACAACTTTAATATGAATATTGAATTAGTCAGTAAAACAACAAAAAAAGTATATCTGTAACATTATATTTGAGAACAATAACATTGTGCCCCATAACATTGTGCCCCATAACATTGTGCCCCATAACATTGTGCCCCATAACACTGTGCCCCATAACATTGTGCACCATAAGCTAACTTTTAAGGATTATGATGGAATACTTAGAATTCATCTAAAACTTTTGCCAAGTAGTCGTGATATTATTTATCTATTGTCCACGTGGTGCATTTAAATAAATAAGTATCCTAACATGGTTTCGATCTGGCCAAACTTAACAATAATACTTTTTTCAAACATTTGTATTGACCATCCAAAGAGAAATTGTAAGTTATGACAACATAAACATTAAAGGGTTTCTAAACCCTCCGTTTTTGTTTTTTTTCCCATATATCTACTGCTAGCAATCAGTAGATATATGCAAAAAGTAAAAAAAAAAACGGTTTAAAAGCGGTTTAAACTTACCCATCCTCCCGTCCGAAAATCCGAAACTGCTCAGACGGCCGCAAAGCATCTTGGGGCGGGCGCATACGCAGTTCGGATTTTCGGCCGGGAGACGAGAGACGCAAGGTAAGTCTACGGACGGCGTGCACCCGCATGCAGACACCATGGGGCAGGAAGTGCCAGCAAGGACAGAGGAGTCAGAGACCCGCAGCAGCACTGGAGAGAAGGCTGAAAAGGACAGGAAAGAAGAGGAAGATCGGATTAAGAGACATCATTTAAGGTAAGTGCTTTAATTAACAATGGGGGAAGGGACACTTTTTTTTTACTTTAATGTCACTTTAAGTTAACTGTAGATGGACTAAATATTAGACCAATGAAGACATTGTGAACCTAATCTACTGTTGTAGCCTTTGTACATGACAAATACTAACATCAGAGGCCAGTTAATATATACCATGATCTAGAAGCTGATTGTTCAGACATCACAGGTTTGTCTGAACATATACAATAGGTATGTGATGCAAAGGCAGGTTTTCTATCCCATTGCACCGGCTTGTACGTTCTACCTAAGTTGTATGGGATAGGTCATACTGTTTTCAATCTACAATGCAAGAATCTAGTTTTGTAATCAGTTGAGGGCAAATTATATACAGTATAGTCCAAGTACATGGCAGATCTATGGAGTTGAATCCATGAGACAGTGAAAATATTGCTTCCAATGTTGCACCATTGAGGTGGCATGAGTTGAAGTTCTAGCCTAAGCTATTTTCTGCAACTAATTTAAAAAAAGAAAAGCAAACGGGTGAAGCTTAATCCTGGAAATGGGTTTAAAAGCAAACCTATGCGCAGGTTGGAGGTGATAAATTACCAGAGATAATACCTACCAAGAGGCCCTTGCATATACAATTAACTTGCAGATAACTCTCGGGAGCACCAAAACTTAGGGAACACCATCAAGCAAATAGCATCTTCAAGTAATGCTTTGGCCTGTTTTGTACTTTGACTATGGATTAGTGAAGTACTTCATTACAAATATGGAGCTGCATTGAGGGTGGAGGTTACAATGTGAATGTCACTATTGGATATAGAAGCCGCTATTAAATAACACATTTTTTGGGACAATTATGAGGCTCTTCAAGCTGTGAATGTATGTGTGGACACCTCTAGGTGCCTGCTACTCAATCTTTCTATCAGTTTAACAGATTTAAGCTGTACATAAGTTGTAGCTGTATATGTTTTGACTCCTCAGTCAAGATAGCATTTAACTGTAGATCAAGAGGTGCACTAGATACATTGATACTGGTGGCACAATGCCTCTATGATGCCCTGAAGAAGGAACCCTAAGTGGCCCCAGAACATTGGCTAGTATGATGCATGTGACAAAAGTTCAATAAATTCAATAATGCGCCACCTGTGTATTAAACTGCCAGCACCAACATTCTTCAAAGGTCAATTACTCTGTATGGAGTGCAGGTGATCTACAATATCAACATGTTGCAGCTTAGGCTGATGTCACACGTATGATCCTGTCACAGACACCAGTTCAGTGACCAGTGCCAATATTGGAATTTTCATGAGAACTGCCAGGGCTGCAGTGGTTGCAGCTGTGACTGGGCCCTGTCCCGAAATAATTTGTCTGTAATATTTTAGAATAACTGTCACATGACAATAAACAAAAATTAATTTGTGATTGGTATCTGTGAGGACAAGTATTGGTACTTGTACTTTGACAAAGATATTATGGACACCCAGAGCACTCAGTTAGAGCACCACTTTAACTTATATCAACTTTCAGTTTAACTTGCATATTTTCTCTCCTTGTATCCTTGGCTTGGGAACTTGTGGTTTTGTTTAGGCTACATCTTGCAGATATTAATTATATTGTGCCAAGGACACATAACTGTAGTTTTAAAACAATTTTCACATGGTGTTGATTTCACAATATATCTAATACATGTTTTAATGAGTAGTTAACACCTAGAAATGCCAAGAATACATTATTAATGATTATGTCAATAAATATCAGTTGTTTATCCTAATAAAGTAGAAACTATTCAGATGCTCTTATGTCCATGTCAGT